ACAAAACAGGACTAGGTTAAGGATCCAGTAGCACTTGGGTTTCTATGCTGGAGTGCCAGATTTATAGTCTGTTGAATTGATGGTTGATTCCAACTACAGGATAGGAATGCTGTGCAGACATTGGCAGAATCCTCTGTATTCAACATCTAAAATCTTTTCAGTCTCCTGGGAACTTGGCAGGGCTCTGTGCTGGCTATACATAATTATGAAGACAGGGATAAGGAACTACATTCCATAATTGGATTTGGTTGTAGAAATACACAATAGATGTCAAAGCTTGCTTTGTAAAAACAGCCAGTGTGTGGGGAAAAAAATCTAAATTCAATTACCACCCAGCCATTCTAAAATCCCAGCTCATATTCAAAATGATCCCTGCCTATATCAACTATAAATCAAGTTCTTTTTTATTTCAGAAAAAAAATACTAAGCAATTTGGAGAAGAAAAGTTGAACATAAGTGGAAAAGACACAGCTACTTGTCAGCCTGTCCAACACATGCAACCTACAGAGGAATTCCATATAGTACCTTCTCCACAGTGCTGGCCCAAAGATGAATCTGCCCAGTGTGGAAGCTTCCCTGCATTCAAGAGCAGTGATGGTATGCTTAGAGAACTGGAGGAAGGACAGTTTGACCAAGAAGATGGAGTCACTCAAGTTACTTGTATGTGACCAGAAAATTATTAAGAGGAACCCATAGGTATTTTTAATGTAAAAATGTAATATTAATACGCATCGTTGTTTATTTCCTCAACCAAATAGGTATATGTTGAAGTCATTTTTTGTCAACTGCATTGAGGAATCTATGGAACTATTTCTAATGCATTTATAGAATTATTAACTTGTACATTAGGTCAATTGAATTGGTATGTTACATTCCCAGAACAATGCTATAAACTGCAGGTGGCTTTCTTTGCAATCTTCCTGGCAACTGGAAAGGAAACAGCTATAGATGAGCTGTTGACCTTTGTCCTGTTGGAAAGCATAACCTTTTCTACAGTGAGACAATATGATGCAATAATAATACTATACAGTTATAAACATAACAAGGTTTAAGAATAAATTAAAATGGTTTCTAAAAAACTGTGTAATTACTGAGCTTCACTTTTACTGTTTTTAAAATACGAAAATTAAAATGGTGATCATGAAACCTTTTGCTGAAATATCTCTGAGTGCTCTATAATATGAGATTGTTGAGAAGTTGAAGAAATAAAGCTTTACCCAAATGCCTGGGAAGGCATGAGAGTTGTTCTATGAAGCTAATTATTAATTTTAAATGCATTTTTTCATATCCGACTGCATTTTTTAAAAAGAAAAGCACGTATTGCTTCAGTCCGGGGAAGGAAAAATGATCAGAGTGGGCAGAAAGGGAATTTAACTACTGCTATAAATGGGGTGAATTGAGGAATTTTCCTTTGAAATACACCAGGGAAGAAAATTGCATGAATTCTCTGTGCTCTGGACACTACCTGTCAGCCCCTTTATCACTTAACAAGATTTTCAGTTTACTTCTTCTATTTTTATTATATATGAATAAATGATAGTCTAATCAAGGAACTTTCTTCATTGAAAGCAGACCTTCTATCCTTGTCCTGATATTAAGTCTGAGAAAAATTTACAAGTCTCTATTTCCCATCTGCAATGGGAACTTAGAAAACAGGTGAACAAATTCCAGTCTTTCCTACACTCCTGGCCATCTGTTGCTGTAATCACTGAGCAGGAATTTGTCCAATCATAGCCAGAGAGCTCTCAGCTGCTCACTCCAGCGTTAGACCATATTCTTTTTTTCAGCAAATGCTTACAGATGACTCCCCAACTGTGTTAAATTAGGAGATTGAAACATTCCCGAGTGAACAAATGCTTTAGGCACCATGCCAAACATTCATCTAAACCTCCAGATGAACCTCAGCTGGCATGGTCAGAACGTTAAGGACCAAATGTTGCTTTAAAATATACTGCTCCATTTCTTTCATCAAACTGCACAAGTGAATGTTACAGTAACATCAGTCCACTGTTAGGATTAAGACTGAAATTTTGCATGGCAATTACAAACTTGAAGGTAGAGCACTTAAAACATTCTTATATACCAGAGAATCCAAGTAAACAGCTTATAAAGACTGTGAAGGTGAAGGCTCATTCTCCGAGTTTGTGGGTTGGTTGGAGAACGCACCTTCACCCCTCATCCTACACCTAACCTAGATATTCGCCACTATTCTAAAGTCTGTTTTCAGGAGTCTCTTCTTTTTGCCGGAGAATTGGATAGCATCTTTATAACCACTCCTAAATCGATACCAGTATATTGTTTTTATTATTCCTAAGGTATTCTCAATTTCTGGAAATTTTCTATTCTAATCTGCAGATATTTTAAATAAAATTCTAACAGTACAATCTTATTAATAACCAGCTTGATACCAGTGCTTCGCTACGAAACTGTGATCGGGCTGTTTTGGGGGAGGAAAATAAGGGGGAAATCTGCCTCTGCTACCAGCATCCAACAGTATTCATCTGGCTAGCGTCCTGTCAGTGTGTGAGAGTTGAGGGCTGTTTGGAAACGGAAACATGGAAATTGAAACAGTATTTGCTATGTAAGCGAGGAGACAGCAAGGAGCCTGGTTGTGGCTTAGCTCAACTGTTCTATACTGAAACTGCTTGGTTCTGTGAAACTGAAACTCCTCTCCTCTGCTTGTGCTATGCATTTGGGACAGATTTTTGGGGGGTGGGGGGGGAGGGAATAGAACTCCTTAGCATCAGAGCATGCTAATAATAATATATGAAATACTAAAACTCTGATGGTCATTTTGAAAAAATCCTTTCTTAGCGAACACCTAGAAGCCAAGAGGAACATACGTGCCAAATTTCAAGTTTGTAGGCTTTACAGTTCTGGAGATTTTGTGATGATGCGTGAGTGGTATTTCACTTTTATATAGATTACTCAAAACTAAATCCCACTTTGCTGAGGAGTATTATTTCTCATGTCTAGAATTATAGGCTCAATTGATGACAGTATCAAACCTTAAGGGGGAAAACACTGAGTTCTACTAGAAATATAGGAAGAAAACAAAAACAAGAGAACTTAGCAGCAAGTACTGTGTTCATTGCAGGTGCGTATTTCTCATTTCCTTAGAAGTCTGAAGAGAGATGGTTTTGGCCTTGAGCTAAGAATAATTCTGAACTCCTGCCTTCAAGCAAGAGGAAGTGATGAAGATATTGGTTGGCACCCAACAACACTTCTGTTTGTTTTGGGACAGTTTCACCATGCACACCTTTAGAGGCTATTTTGTGAAAGCACATGCTCCTGCACAGCAAGTATTTTATAATTCACCTAAAAGATACATTGTATTTTAAATCCCAAAAGTTCTCAAAATTAGTCAACCATTGCCTTACATTTTCTCCAACTGAAATAGCTCAGCTGTTTCTTAAGGGAAGACGGGCTATCCTGGACCAGGAATGGGGTTCACTATGAGGTTAAAATTATTTTGAAACAATTGCCACCTAAAGATCACTCTATCCTTTAAGATTATAATGGCATAATTGCAGCACTAGCTTTCAATCATTCTGGGTATTTATTTAGCTGTATTTTATTTCAATAGCTGCCCGTCAAAATGAGTGTTTTTGGGAAGCCTACATCATAAAACATAAAACAATTTAAAAACAATACAAACTAAATATACATGGTTGCTGCATAGAACTATTATAATGGGCAAGAATACAGCCAAGAAACGGGGCCCTTAACTCACTTGAGGTTTCAAACCCAGGTACACAACTTCATGGCCTTATAAAAGCCAACAGGGTCAGAGTCATTCTGATCTCTGAAGGGAGAATATTCTAGAAAGCAGTGGCTACAGCAGAGAAAGCATGTCTCCTGGTCCCCATCACCTGACATTCCTTAACTAATGAGACCTGTAACCTACCAGAACAAATTGGACTGGTAAAAACAACTGGGAGAAGATAGTACCTTACAGTAGGTATCCCATCCCTAAGCCATAAAGGACTTTAAAAATGATGTGGTGGAATGTAGGAGGGATGCATTCCAAAGCCCAAAAGAGGCAGCAAAGCATGGGCTCTGGTCAGAAGAGGGTAAAAATTGTCTTTAGTAATGCAACGGTTGCTTTAGTTTGGCAAAATTTCAGTCTGTATGAGGAATAATAAAGGAAACTACTCAGAAGTAACATTTCTTGTTTTTTTTTTGGGGGGGGGGGGGGAGAGACTGACAGATTACTAGCACTTTGAATTGCATCCAGAAGCCAATACTGCTCATATAGCAATGATTTAAAAACTGGTCAAAATCAATATTCAGTTTTCTTCAATACCATATCCATATACAAGGTACTTCATAGCTTTATTTTATCCCCTTCACTTCAGAAAGTATTGCTACAAGTTGAATGTAATAAAAATTAACAATGTTCTTCCTTTGGGACTCACTGATCTTCAAGCCTTTTAAGTAGCTTCAATAAAACTTGTTCTGCACATACAAACATCTTACCTCTTTGACTGTAGTATCAAGCACTGGAACTGAAATATTGGAAATATTAACTACCTATTAGTATTTACATTAGTGGGAACCAAGAGGGTTGGTTAATTCATTGACTAAATAAGTTATACTAGCAATGAAAGTTATTACTTGTTCCGCTCTTTAGATTGTCTTAGGTTATTAAATCACATGTGCCCTTGGGCTCATTTAGCTCCATGGAAAATTATAGCGGTCTTATGCATTGCTTCAGTGACATAGAAAGCATATTTTGAATTCTTGAATCATCTTCAATATTCCCAGTTCAGAATTGGTATTACTCAAACTGGCCTTAATACCCCAGTGTAAATGCTTTTGTTTTAGAAATGTACTTTCTTTGCTTTCAAAATACTTAACATGCTTTCAGCTTAAAGTTTGCTAAACATTTCACCCAGCTATTAAGACATCACTCCCATATGTTACAAACAGAGCATAAGTGTATTTTTTTGACATCTGAATGCTCTCAACAAAGGTAACCATCATTTTGCAGCCCAAACTTTTTGGAAAAAGAATGTTTTTAATTGCAACCTCTACTTTTTACAAAGTATTTCAAAAGACAAACATAGCTCAGTTTCCCTATAATGCAGAATGTAAGTTAAACCCTCAATATATTTAGCATACAAAGTCAATAGTTCACTTAAGCTTAATGAAGTTCTATAGTATCAGGCAGGCACATGTGCACACACATTAGAGGTACTCAAATCAACAGCATTAAGAAACTTAATGTAGTTGTAGGCCATTTACAGAACTTTGAATATAGTGCAGACCAATCAGATTTATTAAGAGCAAAATCAGGTTTTGCCCCCCACCCCAAAGGCATGTATTGGAAGAGGGAGACTTAAGATTTTATTGCAGCCTCAAAATTAATGCTTATTGACATTTGTCTGTTAACTAGCCGAGGCTACATTCAAATAGAGAATGCCAACTGCATCTTGTAACCCCTGAAACTTAACTCAACCACATACTCTAATCAAATTACACATGGGTGTAATAATTGCTGTTGTTAAGAACCATCTGATGTGATGACCCTGTTGACCATTAAAACCATTCCAAAATAGATAATAAAAGCAGTTGAAGAAGCCAAATGTCAGTCCAGTGAAGAACTTTCAACTTCCAAGAATATCCTCTAGCACAGTCTCACTCAAAAGTGTTTCTATCATCTGCTATGAAGTATCCATGTATCTTTTTTAAAGATTCCCTTTCTATTAGAGCAGCAATCTTGATACTCTATGGGACCAATTCATAATATCTTATATGCAATTAAGGCAAGAACATTATGTGCTCTGAAACCAAGTTATGAATAGTAGGAAATAAACTAGTTTGACCACATAAGGGCCAAACAAACCTATTTCAGCAAATAAAGGGACATCTTTGATAAGAAAGGATCAGCCTTCAATTCCCAAAAGTTAAAACATACCAAACTTGACTGAACAGTGCTAGTGCTTTTTTAGATTTCTGAATTCATGTACATCCAATGTATAGAAACCCATTATAATTGTCTTTTAAAAATATTTAGCTCTATAGCACTCAAAATAGTTTAAACTCCATTAAGTTCTTACTGAACTTTAGTGCTAATGCAAATCTTAAGATGCTACGTAAAGAATATACAGTTGGATTGGGAGACATAACTATGCAATTCATTGACTAGCATACAAAACATAATATTCGGGCAATATTTGGATAAATAGAAACCACCTGCAAATGATGGATAAAACTTTTCCAAGTACATGGGACTTGTCCTACAAATGAGTATGATTATTTTGGCACAATCTGCTGTAGTGTTAACATAAATGTTTAATGCGAGGTATAGTTTGTCAGCAATTACTATAAATATGCACAAGTATAAGCCACAGAGAATTTTACTGTAGGCCAGGAGAAAGCACACATTGTTTCATTCACTGGTGAGAAGTTCAGCTAGGGAATCTTTGCCTTAAAGGGATTGGACGTATAACTATTTGTGGATATGCAGAAGCCTCCATTGATACAGCAAGGCAAGTCCAGAAAGAAACTAAAAGCTCTAGAATATATTTTTGGCAGCATAATAAAAGCTACCATTTGGTATTAATACTGCAATAACCAATATTTCAATACACGTGTACTGTAACAGGTTAGTTCTATATATGCATACACCCAAAAGCAAAACTAAATAAGGATAGTTTCCATAAAATACAAAAGTTAGAAAGAAATGAAATGGACTTGCAAGCTTCTGAAGTGTCAAACTAAGGCTACAATTCATTAGAATGAAAAGCTCAGGTTTAAACTGGACATTGTTTGAAGACTAAGATCCAATGATTGTTTAGCAGCAATTTTACAGAACTGTAAATTCATTTATTAACAGGCAGTATAAACAGATAATTCTAATTTTATTTAAAAACCATGAGTGCCACATTGAATATACAGCTCATGAATAACTTAAAACCATATCCCATATTAAGAGGCAACGCACACAGCATACAAAAAGTATACTAAACAAAGCTCTAAGGATACATGATTGAAATTTCTAAAATTATATATACAGTACACAATGTTAATTATGTGTTCATTTCAGTCCCCGATACTCCTCATGCCTCACTTTCACCAGAAACTGAATTCTGCACTTCCTCTTCTAAAATTGGTACGATCAGATTATCCTTGGACATCAAGTTATATTTCATCACAAATTTGGTAAACCGATGACATAAGAAAGTCTCATTCTGAGGACAGAAAAACGTACATGTTAATACAGATTAGAAAAGTACATAATAATACAGAGTAAAATTACTTTGGGACAAAAATTCCTTCATGGGGAGTACTATGTTAGAGGGGGAAAATGTAGAATATAATTTGTGCTGCATTCTGAAGCTTTCCAGGATGTACGATAAAGCTATTTTTGAGATTTTTCTTCAACTAAAAAAGAAGGGATCACCTGATAAATGACAGAATGTGGAAATGTCTTCTTACATTATCTTTCACAAAACATCAGGAACCTTAAAACATGAAGAGATAGTCCCAAGACCCCAATTTTTAAATGGATTTTGGATCCATTCAATTTCGCTAACCAAATACAATCCCCTGTACATGAATGAAGAGATGTTAACAATCCACATACAGTTATCACAATATACCCTTTTCAGGATAAACAATGTTATACAAACCACAAAAGAAACAAAAAACAAAGATATTAAAGGCACAAGAGAAGAAAATTTACACCAATTCCATTCACTTTTTTCTACCCTTGATTCCATGATATCCATACACTGCATGATTTTTTTTTAATTTAAAATTTTCAGTAATTCAATTTAAGTGCTCTCCAAATACTTTTGTGCTTAATTGATTGCTCGCCTTAATATTCAAACTACATTCATTTTCTAAATTCTCTTTTCAACCACATATACTTATGTACTCCTTTGCTGCTGAATTAATTTTGTCATTCATAACATATTCAACTCTCACTTCCATTGAACAAAAAGGGCAAAAATATATTTTAGCCACTTCTGGTTGTTTCATTCTTTCATTCCTCTGGGCAAACTACACGTTGCTATCTTTTTACTATTATTTGCAACCCATCAGTACCACAAACATTCTTTGTACATTTACCATATATAAGCAGCCAAGAACACACACCTATATTAATTCAATACACTCTTCTGTTGACCCATTTGTTTGATGTCACATTAAAAAGACTCAAAAGAATATTAAAAAGAATCACTCAAAAATTTACAGAAAACTATTAGTTTTGAAGTACATTCAGGTTTTACAATCCTTTCTTCCATATATTTTTGTGAAAATGCATTTACAGTACATCAGCTGATCAAAATAGACCAGCGGTTGCCAACTGGTGGGCCACAAGAAAATTTTGGTGGGCCACAACATGCTGAGGTGGGGCAATCCTACATTCTCCCATGTCGTGGCTGCTGCCTCCTGCCTCAGCACATAGAGGAGGCCGAGCAGCAGCGGGAAGAGTGCGGACCTCCTGAGCTACAGAAAGCAGCTGCCTTCAGGTGAAGATGTTGTGAGGGTGAGGCTCGACCCCCTCTTCTTCTTCGCCAGAAGCATTCACCCACTCAGCGGGAAGGAGGCGGCTTGTCGGGGGTCAGAGGGGCAGTGAGCACTTTGTGTCTGAGTGCTTCTGGTCTGGAGGAAGAGAAACTCGTGGGGAGGGGGCGCAGGAGATTGCACCCTCCCCTCGTAGGCCAGAAAACACCCAGAACTCCAATGCCACAATGTCCAACGCCCCTGCACTCAGGAGCTTCTCTTCCTCCTCACCAGAAGCGCTCACATGCTCAGCAGGAAGGAGGCAGCTTGTCGAGGGCCAGAGGGGCAGTGAGCGCTTTGCACGTGAGCGCTTCTGGTGAGGAGGAAGAGAAGCTCCTGGGGGGGTCGAGTCTCCCACTTACAACATCTTCCCTTGAGGACATCGTTGGCAGCTGCTCAACCTCCTTGATGTGCGGAGGCAAGAGGCAGGAGGTGTGTCACTTCGCTAATGCTGTGCAAATGCGAGTAGCATTTGTTCTCCAATCTCCAAGTTAGAGGAGAGACATTCAAACGTGGCCGGCAGCATTCAAACGAGGGGAGTGAGGAGGCTTATAATCAAAACCATAATAAGCCTCCACCTCCTTCACTCCTTGTTTGAACCCCCAAAGCAGTGGTGAAATTTGACTACCTCCACTCCAAAGCAGTGGTGAAATTTGATACCCCAACGTATCAAAGGTCGCAATCGAGGAGAGAAAAGCCTTTCATTACTTTTCCCTGGCAGCCCTTCTCTAACCTGGCAATCTTCAGGATTTGGGGAGGGGGTTGAGGGGTGCATGTGAAGGACTGCAACTTTTGACAAACTTTCCTCCAAGAGTTTCTCCCCTCTGCAACTCTGCGGCATGAGTTGGCCGCTTCTGCAAGTGCCGGCAGAATCAATGAAGCTCGCCCCACAGGGCAGTTCCTTAGGAATTTCCGCCTCTCCTCTTCACTCCCCAGATGGCTGAGGAGGCGCTCAAAACAACCTGGAGCCTTTTCCGCCTTATTTTGTTCTTTCGGCTTACCTTCCACAGCAAAGTCAAGACGACCAACCATGTCAGATTCCCACCACCTCCCCCCACTCCCGGGGACTGAGAAAGAACAAGGTGAACAAGAAGTGATGTTGGCTTGGCCACACCCACCCACCCATATGACCACCAGGCCATTTTTATATTATATAAAATTATATTTTATATTATAGTTTTATATTATATAAAACCCACCCATATGACCACCAGGCCAATTTTATATATATATAAAATTTGTAATATAAAATTTATATTTAATATAAAAATTAAAATTTTATATTAAATATATTATCTTTTTTAAAAATTTATATTAGTGGTCCTCAGAATTTAAAATTATGAGTTTGGTGGTCCCTGAGGTTTAAAAGGTTGATGACCCCTGAAATAGACTAAATGTATAAGGTTTTGATAAAGAAACTGCAAGAGACAATCACTTACTTTCCCTACTTCATTTTCAAATCCCATATCTGGAGAACATTTTGAAACCATAATAATTATACCATGCTGTCATAAAAACAGCAGCAACACTCACACATTCTAAAGATAGCAATCTAAAAAATAGCAGACCAATAAAGCTGTTTCATCATTACAATTTCTGGTACTAAAGTAAGAGCACAACCCAAGAAGTTTACCCAAGAAGTAAAATCCATGTATTCAGTTGTCCCAGTTAATTGCATCTAAAATTGCTATCCCAAACATTCACAACCCAATCCTATATGCATCTTTTCAGAAGTTAAGCCTTACACAGTTCAATAGAGCATATTCCAAAACAGACAGCTAGAGGGCAATACTCTTTGTAATAATAAAGCACTTACCTCATATTCATCAAATATTTGACGATGATGAAAATACGCATGGGAAAATATTCTGTAAATCCTACGGCAAACTGATCCTAGTTTGGCTACAGATGATTCCTTTATACTAACCCTGAAAACACAAGAATGTCTTGCTGCATTAAATATTCCCATAATCCTCAATTGACAATACATTACATTAATACTGAAATATGTTTTCTATAATTCTGAGAAAATATTTACCTGCTGGGGAAATATTTATTGCTATTCAGAAGACATGCAGCACCATCCAATGTATGTCTAGTGTAGTCAATGGCAGGACACTAGAAAAAAATAAATAAAAGTACGCATTTACTATAGACAACATTTTAATACTTTCAAATAATCAAAAACCAATTTATGAAAAAAATCATCCTTTCCAAATTCAATTCTTCACACAGCCATGAAATTCACTGGGCGATATTACTACTATAGGAAAAAATGAGGAATTGCCTTGTGCTCAATTGAGATACGAATCAGAACAAAATAAATAACAATGAATGCTGAATTATGATTTAAATTGTATATTTTTTATAAAATTTAATGCAGTGTTACATCACAAGGAAAAGCCAATACCCTGTGCAATTATTCACTTGAAAACACATAGCAATAGCACTTTAGACTTATAGCCTGCTTCACAGCTCTGCAGCCCTTTCTAAACAGTTTATGGGGTCACCATATTGCCCCCAACAATCTGGGTCCTCATTTTATCGATTGCAGATACAACTGGGGGGGGGGGGGTTATGCATGGAAACATATCAGAAATTAGGAGAACGTCACTAATAAGTAGCAACTGGTAGATGAACAGAAGTGTATAATTTTTTTTAAAAAAAAGACAGTATAGGAAAGTAATATTTGCAGCAGTAACACAATTAGTAAAACATCTTCAATCATTACAGTTCCCGTTTTCTGCCTTACCTCTTTGGGAGTTTTATGGGCTGCACAAAGAAAAATCCATTGTTCTGTTGCTGTCATCTGTGTGCATGTGTCTGGGTGGCATTCACTCTATTAAAATAGTTGCACAATAAATGAGCCTATGCGAAAAATACATTTTGTGCAAATAACATCCTTTCTATCTGACCATTATATGTAACTAAAAAACAAAATGCTAAAAAAGTCTTCTGTTTTAACTAATTTTTAATAAAGATTCTTAAATGCCTAAAGAAAAATGAAAAAAAAGTTACCTGAAGTTTAACCGCAAGACCATTTAGCTCCAGACAGAATTGCCTAAAAATTTTAGGGGGGGGAAAAAAAGTTAGATCACCACCCTTTCTTTCTCTCATTTGATGTAATTATAAGCCTAGGCAATACCACAAACATTGTAAAATGCTGTTACTTGTTATCTTTGGAAAGAAGCATGAAAAAATACCTTAAGTATTATTTATATATTTGTCAAAAGACAACAGTTAAATATTTAAGATTTTCTAAGATTCTAATAAAATCAATATTTAGCAAATTTGACAAAAAATTATTCTATAGCAACATTAGGTTACACAGGGTTGACCAAAGCTAATAGCCTCTATAAAGAAGATGGACTATTCAGATGACTTGCCTAGGTGCCTGATGGCTAATAGAGGGCAATACTATGGAATACTTACATGGCCTCTAGAAAATATAGGTTATCCATCAGTTTGAGGCAAGGTACAATTAGCATATTTCTACCTCAGGCTGAGTGGGAAACATGGTAGAACATGAAGTTGAAAACATGCATCTTTGTATACCCACACTATTTTATTATAGACATAGGACCCAGAGTAAAAAAGAATACATTTTAAAATAAACAATAAATTCTATTAACAAATATTTAAACAAACTGAAAATTATCTTTTGATACAGAACCAATTAAGTAAAATACATCTGTAATGTTAAACTACATTATTATATTGTAGTAAATTTGAATAGGTCAGTTATAGCAGGGATGAAAAATACCTAGTTCACCCACCTTTAATAACCTACAGAGCAGTCTGTGTGGTGGGGAAAATGGCCAGGAAAAGAGGGGAGGGAATCTCTTGTAAATATACATCCCGCTTAAATCCCAGACGCACATGATTAAAAGAATAAGGTTAAGTAAATGAATAAGGCACTAGAGTCTCAGAAGCAATTAGCAATTTTCTTAATGAGAAAGTATTGCTATTTTCAGTGCTTTTTATTTACTTGGAATGCAAATGGTGTAAATGAACACAATTTCTTAAGAACAAACTTTTTTAAAAGAGCAATTTACCTTAAATGTTGCTATTACCTTAAATGTTCATATTTCCAAACACCTTCATCCTGTCCTTCTGGAGGTTCAAGAATTTTGTCAATATTTGAACAGTCTGCCCTTATATTTTGTTGGATATACTAGAGAGGAAAATGTTTAAAATATATGTATTATGAATCAGATTAATAATCATATATTGTATATGTGTGAAGCTAGCAAAATTTATATTGAACACTTCCTAACTAACCTTTTACTTGCTTTGCTAATCCCTGTTTTCATGTTTTGCATCTGTGTTCCAACACAGATAACTTACTAAAGGTACAATTTACTTTGACTAAAAAATGTCAGTCCTGTAGCTGAATTTATTAGTTCAGCAAAAAATAAAACAGGCAGCTCAGTAAGCATGCAACATTTACGTAAAATGATATAAGCACTTAACAGCAAAGCAAATAAAATTATATCATTAATGCAATCTAGTTCATTATAAATCCTTAATTGTCAAAAAGTAAATGAACAGAATATATTCAACTGGGTACCTGTTGAACTGCCAATGTGCTATCCATCTCTTCAAATGATTCATCAGGCCAATTATAAAAATCCTAAAAAAAATTAAAAAGACCAGAAAGACTGATGCATAACAAAGTCAAATCTTAAAAATACTCAAGTTTGTAACAGCACTTAGTTTGCCTTTTAAAATAGACACAATCACCTTCTAATCTGCATAATTTCATGTTTTTGTTACCTATCTCTCTGAATTTTATTCTAACACCAGAAATGTCTAGCAGTACTATGTACTATAATAAGTGCTTTTATGAAACAAACCTCTTTAGAATGGCATCCCCAATCCTACCATCTCTTTTATATATTTCTATTACTAGCCACTCTATACAATGCAAATAGTTAAACTTGGGGTCTAAATATGGTAAATGCTTCAATAAACAATATATATCCAAATCAATATATATTAGTTAGAGAATTATAGTAATACAAGTTTAACACTACAATGATGCAGAATTTCTTGCATCTTACAATTGTTATTAAAGCAGTTAAGCTACTAGACTCCATACAGCATTAATGAAACATTAAGGTAGGTGTTGAGAAATAATAAAAAGGCCCAGACATCTTTGCCTATCACCAAAGCATATTTAAGAGTTTTGCAACTTTTTAAAAAATACTATACTAGTATAAGTAACTCAAGGTGATGAACGTATCCATTCCTTTCTCCTGTTTTTCCCACGTTAGCCTTGTGAACTGGGTTGGGCTGAAAGAGAGTGCAATTGGCCCAAAGTCACCCAACTGGTTTTCATGACTAAGGTGAGACTAGAACTCTGTGTCCTGGTTTCTAGATCAGTACCTACATCAAACTGGTTGTCAATTTACCAACTTTCAGTTATACTCCTATGCATATTTAAAGCTGAGGTAAATAACCAGTGAACTGATATAGCATGATATATATTATTAAAATTACTAAGATGTAATGCATAGGAAGAATAGCAAAATCATTTTTGCTATAAACTCATGTAGGACTGTGTAAGGAGCCACTGCTATTCATATGGGCAGAAAGTTGGGCAATAGAAAGGCATTTTTCTATTCCATATGGACATTTTAGCTGTGTGTTGAATGCTTCTGAAACAAATTTAATAGCAATAGGACTTAATTGTAATCACTGTATTGGTTATTCTAAACAATAAATAACCTGCACTGTATTTTGGGAGGCATTAAGAGACATTTTCAAGGAAAAAATCTCAAGCTGTTTTACAATTAAAATTATATATGAATATATTTCACAAATACATTATATGCACTCTTAACAACCCATGGCATTTTACATAAGTTTTATCAGATCTCCCCAAGCAATTTTGCAAGGATAACCTAACAATCTTGGTTACTAAAAATTATAAATCCATAAATTTAATAGGAATAGCCAAGAAAAGCCAAATTATCAGAGCCCATCTACCATGTTTCCATTTAGAGAATATTTATACAGGCTGCAGCCAATAGATGGAAAAAATAACCAACTTTTTGCTTCATTATCTATTTTTGCTTTACAATATCTGAAAAATTACCGTAAAATATTACATGTTAATTTTCTCCAACTATTTTATATTAATAGAAGCTAAGACTAATAGACTGAAAATAAAAACAAAAAGATTTTCCAAACGTGCACTGTATAAATTCCATGTAAGGTGAATACACACAAAAAAACATATTTGTGCACATACATATTTTATATTTGTTTCAAAGAGAAAAATCAGAGATATCACTAAGTATTAATTTTTTAAAAATTCTAAGTGCTTCAAGATGACTATTTCAGCTATGTTATAATATAGAATGTAACCAAAAACTAATCATTGTAGGGATTTTATTCTGAACTTTATATACTAGTGTGCCTCTCTGATGTCTACAGAATAGCTTGAAAACCATTTTGTTGAATCTAGTTTCTAATATAAAATAACCTCCCATTATTTATGTCAACCAAATAAGGCCTTTAACTATATAGAATGGTTCCAAGAACAGAATTACAGTAGCATCTTCTCAGTATCTTTTATACCAGAAAAACTCATTTAATAGCAAAAGAGGACCTCAAGTAGCATATATATTCTATTCATTATAAACTAATCTCATGACAGCAAGGTAGCATCAAATGTACAGAAATCAAGCACAAGCAACTATGGGGAGTCCTCAACTTATGACCATAATTCAGTCTAAAATTTATGCTGCTAAGCAACAGCTGTTTGTGAGTTTCACCCCATTTTACAACATTTCTTTCCACAGTGGTTAAGTTAGTAAAGTAGCTGTTAAGTGAATCTGGCTTCCTAGTTGATTTTGCTTGGGGCACTGCGAGTCAGTTGCCAAGTATCTGAATTTTGATCAGGTGGCCATGGAGATTCTGCAACAGTCAAAAGTGTGAAAAATGGTCATAAGTTGCTTTTTTCACTGCCTTGTAACTTCAGTTACTAAACGAACTGTTGTAAGTCTAGCACTAAGGTAAAGGTAAAGGTTCCCCTCACACATACGTGCTAGTCGTTTCAGGCTCTAGGGAGCAGTGCTCATCTCTGTTACAAAGCCGAAGAGCCAGCGCTGTCCGAAGATGTCTCCGTGGTCATGTGGCCGGCATGACTAAACGCCAAAGGTGCATGGAACGCTGTTACCTTCCCACCAAAATGGTCCCTATTTTTCTACTTACATTTTTACATGCTTTTGAACTGCTAGGTTTTCAGAAGCTGGGACAAGTAACCGGAACTCACTCTGTTACGTGGTGCTAGGGATTCAAACCGCCAAACCGCCAACCTTTCTGATCGACAAGCTCAGCATCTTAGCCACTGTGTCACCACGTCCCTACAATTCTAGCACTACCTGCACACAATTAGAACATATACAAATGTTCTCTCAGAACTGGCCACTTTAAGGCCCTTCAGAGAGTTTGGAATTTACATTCCCAACAGTTCTAGACAGCAAAGTCAGCTTGTGAGAGCTACAGTTCCAAATGTTAATAAAATTCATTATATCTGCAGTAAACAAGCTGCCACTGGAAGAAGGTAGGAGACGAACAAAGGAAATCAAATAAACCTACAGACTGCACCCAAACCCCTTTCAAGTTTTCAATAAAAATTCTAAACCTTCCAAAACAGCCATTTGAAGAACATCTTCCAAAAAGGGAGGATCAAACAACTTATTAACAATAATAATTGGATATGACAGCATTGAGTTATTTTGAAGAAAAGGTTGTTGGTATCAGCATTGGACAAAAAATAAGCCCTTCCCAGCCTCAGCAATCCTAAAAGCCCTAATTCTGAACAGGAAAGGACAAACGATTTCCAACACAGCTCATTTCTTCTGTGGGAAGATAGGAAAATGTTGTTTCAGCAGCACACCCTGCAGCCTTCATCCACACCCAGGTTCCAAGCCCACTTCCGTCTTTCCCTGCTTTACAGTCACGGCTCCGACCTTTTCCCCACACCTCCTTCCTCCTCCTCCTCCTCCTCCTCTCCAAATAGCTTTCCCTGCAGCCCCACCTGTGTTCTACTCTCTCCCACTTCTTCGGGGGCGGGGGGGGGGGGAGGAGGGACTTTCTTTCCAAGGCTTTTCTTCTCACGTTTTTCAACCTTCTGGAAGAGGCTAGACTAGTTTCTAATTCCAGGGTGCCGCCGATTTCTTTCAACGGGCGGGACGTCGCTTTTTGGCTGTTGACGCAGGGAGGGAGGGAGAAGGAACGATGAACACCCGAATCCTTGCCTTTCTTGTTCGTGACAGCGCCATCCCCCAAGGGCTTCAGGCCCAGTGAGTAGTTTCTAACCCCGGAGAGAGATGGGATTGCCAGCCTTCCTCCCCTCCCACACCTGCGGGGATGCCGCATTGACTACTAACCTTTTCTCATTCCCCCACCGGGCCCTGCTGGCCATGACAGGGAGGTACCCTTTTGGCCCTTTCTTTCTCCCAGCAGCGGCCCCCCGGCCCTCCTGGTCCACAGCGAGCAGAACGGCCGTTTTCCTGGGAAGGTGGACGGGGGAGAGAGGCGCCTACAAGTAGGCCTCCGCCACCAGCAGCTGCTCCCCCACCCCAGTCCCGCGGCAATACCCGTCCCGTCTCCCCGCCGGAGCCGTGGTCCCCCACGCCCCTAAGCGTTCCGAGGCCTTGCGGGAGAACGACGGGTTTACCTGGGCCTTGGTGCCCGGCCTGTTCCGCCTTAGCACAGCCGTCCCCTCCGCCATGACCATAGTGACAGCGAGCGGCGCCAGGACCCGGATGCGGCGGCGGCAGCAGCAGCTACCCAACAGGCGGGGAGGGGAAAAAAAAAAAAAAAAGAGGCGGAAGACGCGCGGAAAGACGCGAGACGACGACGAAGCTGACTTCCCCCGAGGGGCGGGGAAGGAGTAAAGGGGCAGAAGAGCCCGCGGGGATTCGGAGAATTACGTAGCGTCTTACATCAGAGGGGCGGGGCTAAGAGGGAACTTGAAAACAGCGCCCTCTAGCTCGGGAGGAGACAAAATTCAGCGGAATAAGTAAAGGAAGGAGGAGGAGCCGAATATCGGACGCAAACGACACCGGAAGGGGCGGGGAAAGCTGAAGTGAAAGGCGGGGAGGAAGCAGGGAAGTGGCGCGTGCGTTGAGAGTTTGTCGGGGCGGGAGGAGTTTGAGGGCTTTCCGAAAAGAGGGCGGGGCGTCTCCTGTGGAAGAACTTTCGGCCGGGCATCGGGCGCCTTCGGGCGTATCTGGCGTCATACGCGTGGCTCCTTGAAGCTCGGGAAATTCGCTCGCGTCAGGGGTCTCTTACTCGGCTAGCGACCGCAGAAAAAGGACCCCCTCGGATGATGAGACTGGTGTGCTCTCCTCGCTACTTACTACCCAGACTGACCGCTTACCGGCCGCAGATGCGGAGCGCTGAGCCCTTCTCCCTCTCGGGGAGGTCGCTCTCCCTTCGTTTCGTGTTTGGAACGGAGAGCGACCAAGTGCGCGAAGAGCAAACCCTTACACAGATGTTTGTTTACTGTTGCTTCTGTATAATAATGAGGAGCTCACAAAAGCTCTCGCAATAGAACTTGAAACCGCAAACGGGCACAGACGCCCCAAGTTAACCGACGTTGCCCCGAAGGATGCGATTTTACAGCTCTTCGAAGCCCCACGGGGAGAGCCGGGTTGAAGAGCCGGGGCAGTTGTTCCACAGGAGGGACTCGCGAAGAAATCCTGGCTGTGGATTCCCTGTAGATGGCGTCCCTTCGGGGGCTGATGGGCCATTTGCGAGCCGCAGGCAAATCTGGAAGGGGGACCTCACTCTCCCTCCACCCAGCAGTTTGGCCGGCGTCTGCCTTCCTTGACTGAGGAGATGCCCTGGGAGAAATGAGCCCGGCCATACAGGGAAGCTCTAGAAGGGCTTTAGCACCAATCTTCTCCCTCATGCAACAGTTTCTCCTAATCTTCTTGTCACCTCCAGTTTTATTTATTTCACTATTTTAAGAGATGTATCGGCCATTAATGAATGGCAGAGGTACTGCACAAGAGATTTGCCCTTTCAAGTACCTGGCAATTAAAAAATGCTTTTGGGTAAATCTGGAATGTAAATACTTCACTACTGTGCTATTTCTTTTGACTACAAATTTCCTGGGAAACTGAACTAGAACTAGGGCAATCAAAGAATTAAATTCTTACATTTTTCACAAGGACAGTCTTGTCTTGCATGGACTTTCTATTTTGGCTATTACTAAAAATACGAACACTGATTTGCATTAAGAAAACCCTTGTGAACACTTATTAAAAGTATAATTTTAATCAGGACTTGACTTTTAAAAGTACCTTGTATGTTTTTTGGGGGGGAGTTTTCAGGGAAAAATGGTTTTAGGAGGAAGAGAGAATAAGAAAATTTCCATCACAAGCCTTGGAAAACTATCTCCATGGTTCAAGCTTTTTTATTCCTTCTGAATGAAAGGTGTTCATCATTACTTACTTAGATCACTTAATGGCAGGGCTGTTATCTGAGGGACTTCCTATCTCCAGTCATTTCTACCTATCTGGTATTCAGGCAGAATAGGTGTGTTTAAAGTTCCTTCAATTAAACATTGTCATATTGTAGGATCAAGGAAGGATGCTTTCTCAGTTGCTATCCTTGTACTCTGGAATAGGATCCCCACCCCGCACAGTGATATGAATAATGCCCACTCTTCTGATGTTCCAAAAAACCCTTAACATCTCCATCTAGGACCTGCCTCCCGGGCCCTAGATGGAGCTGGGTATTTGTGAAGCTGCTTCATTTTTATTATGATAGTTTGTAATTTGGACCAATTTTGTTACTATTCTAAATATTTCTGCATAAGATACCCAGAGCCTTTTGGAAATAGGTCATAATCTTAATAAATGTAACAAGTGCTAAAGCAACACCATAATGAACACATTAGCAAGGAAGTTTCACTGTACAGATAAATTTTATTTCAAGGTCACAATATCATTTGAGAAATGTTGCATTTATTAAGAAAATTATTTACATGATGGAACAAAAGCATTTGAGCACTTTTTGTGGAATGACAACTTCATGATAATGCCAGAGTATAACCTTCTCAGTCAAGATATTTTCCAAGAATATCACCATCTCTAAATATGAAATAGTCCTGCAAATAGAGAATACAAATTAGCATTTACCAAAGACAAAATGTTCCTAGTTCAGAAGTCAAGGCAATTAAGTTGTTCCAGCAAAGATGGATTTACGAGCACATAGTGAGATTAGTGCTCTGCAAATAGTGAGGCAAGGACATGTCCTTTACAGTGTTGTCTTTGAAAACTGGGAGAAGAAACTAATTTCCTTAAAGATAGCCTTTATCTGGACTGAAATATTCCAGTTTAAAGCATAGACAAAATTACAAGTCCTAGCTATACTCTTATTACATACAAGATTCCCCACTAATAGTCAGGTTAGTTCCAGCCTGAATTGGACCCATTTTTACCAGTATGCTACATGTCCAACCAAAGCCCAGTTTTATTTCCAGCAATCTCATGCTTTCTGTGTAAAGTTATGTTCTCTAGAGATTATCTTGCAACCCAGCGTACTATTACCTGCATGCACCAGTTTGAAGATACTTGCAGTGTGGTGAGACCCTCATAAGCAAAACTAATGAAGTGATGTATGGATGTGAAAGCAAGCATAAGTTACGAGGATAGAAAAATATGGAAACTAAATGATACTAGAGTAAACATAAATTTAGATTTGTATGCCCTTTACTTTGTTTAGTGGTTCATTTTTCAATTTTGCTTTCTTCTTCCTTTTACATAAAATGGTTCCTTTTGCAAGGGGTGTGTGTGTATGAAAAGACTTTCAGGGACTGGGTGGAGGGAACAGGCCCAAAAATTGTGAGACCAGGGTGTGGAAGTCTTTAAGCAAGGCCATCTCAGTGGCTGTCACATGCAACTGGGCAGGCTCCATTACAATAATAGATGGAAACATGTTTTCTAAATCTAAAGATACTGGATTACAAGATACTTTTGCTTAAATACAGGTTTGAGAAAGGCATTCAAAATGTGTATTTACTCTAGACTTCTTCATGTCTAGATAAAGCAGGAACTAAAAATGCAATATTTTAATAAGGAAAAAGGACAAGCATTTTAGAAATAAATATTAATATTTGCAGCTAAGGATTAGTCAGAAATGGACACACAGTTGGAACACAAAAAGCTTGGCATGTCAGGTACTTGAAGACTTCCCATGGTAGCTTTAAAGAAATGGTATCTATGCCTAATTACTTTTTAAAAATTAAGCTGTGGAATTGAAAGAATATTTAATGTAAAACTAACCTTATCATCCAGTATAACCTTTGTACCTCCATATTCAGGTAGTAGAACCTTCTCACCAACTTTTACACTAATTGGTTGAATGTTTCCATCCTAAAGAGAAGAATTGAATTGTAAACATTACAGTACACTAAGGAATATTTTGTGAAAATACTTTTTAAATTCAAAGTTGCAAAATTAAATGAAAAACAGTTCATTCTGTATTATCAAACACTGGCAATTTTTAGATGATGTAATTGCATCTAAACTTTTTTTTGCATTTGAATGTTTCCCCCACAAGGCTTGCTGGTTAGTATTAAAGGGCAATTAAGTAATAATGTTTCTATTAGGGATATGTGGAACGTCCATCAATGGAGCTTGTGTTCTATTTGAGGTGCTCCAGGATAAGAAGGAACAGGAAAAAAAGGGTTCCCAAGGGTTAGAGACAGTGAAAAACGAAGGTGTGAGTGGCCCCAATGGGTATGTCATATCTGAATTCAAGCTGATGACTAAGGAAAGGATAAGGAAAGCAACAAGGAAAATGGGTGGATAGGCTGAGCACAGGACAGTGAAGCAGATAAAGGGTGATATGCGTTTGCTTTGTTTTATTTGCTCCCTAAAAATCAATAGTTCAGTCACCTCTGAAAGGTGACTCGTATAATTCAAGTACATTCGCCTTGCCAACACCCTTAGTTTATATTCAATGACTGCAAGAAACCAAGGATGTAATTGAAAAAAACCAGAAAGCTATTAAAATGACCTGTCTTTTTAATCATTCTACTCCATGATAAAGTGATTTGTAATATTTATTGGATTTCTTAAAGAAGAAACATGTCTGCATGAACAAAGAAGATTAACATCCCCAAAATTGCCATGAACTTAATCCAGACCTAGAAACAGAGTTCTTTAAAGAGACTTCTAGAACTTTTAAAGTTTAGAGGTAATACTCCAAGGACACACTGTTCCAGAAGGTGGGTGCTTCAACAGAGAAGGTTTCAGTTCTGCAAGAGAAGATTTTTAACTGAAGGAGCCCAGAACACACTGAATCTGGCCAAACATTCTGGATGGGCAGAAACTATTAGAAACTGGTGATTTTTCTAATAACCACACTCTGATGTTAAGTGCCTTACAGATAAATTAGACAATCCATATCATGTTGGGTCATGGCTTCAGAGATATTTCCTTATCTAACGAAAGATATAGATTATAGAATGACCGTGGGTGAATAAAACAGCAGCTGGAGTTAGAGCAATTTCTGATTAACTACAAACTTCCTCATTGAACTCCTTTGAAAAAATGTAATTACAATTATTAAATTCCCATTTACCTTGCTTTTTGAACCTGATCCAACTGCCACAACAGTGGCTTGTAGTACTTTTCCTTGGGATTTTTCTGGAATCATGATTCCTCCTTTAGTTACTGTCTCAGCCGCACATCTTTCCACCAGTACTCGGTCAAAAAGAGGAAGAAATTTTTTAAATGCCTGTCCTGCCTGTTAAAACAAAACCAGAAATCATCATGAAGCCTTAACAAAAATAATTTGTCATCTGTAAGATAACTGAGGGCTTATATAGCTTGTATGGAACATGAACATAAGAAAAACTCTGAAAAAAAAATCCTGATGCATATCAGAAGGTTGCAATAGGTGACCACATAATGCCAGGAAATTGCAACCTTCATAGATAAGCCAGTGGCCAAGTGGCTGAATTTTGATTGTGTGACCATGAGGACGCTGCAGTCATAGTGAAAAAATGGTCATAAGTCACTTTCAGTGCTGTTGTAACTTCATGTCACTAAGTATTGCCAAGGCATGATTTTATCTAGCAATTGTAGATGTTTCTCATGGAAAACCAACAATACTTTAAAAAATAAATTTAATAAAAAGTAATCTTATTACTTCTACCCTCATATGCAAATTCTAATAGCATAATATTAAAGGGAAAGTATCTTATTCTTTCCCCAAAACTTTCCCTTGTCTGATCTAGACAATTTTCCAATCTTCTGCAGAGGAGAGGGAAGAACAGAAAAAATGATCTTTGGCCATTCCACTGATAAATGGAAAGAACTGAGTTAATTGTAAAACATCTGAAGAAAATAATTAACTGCAAGAATTCAACAGTTTAAGAATAATGAACTTTGGATGGGTATTTGGAAGCCTTGGCTACTATTTTAGTGTGATTTTTAAAAATTCTATAGGTGCTTTATTGGGGATGTATCAGCTCAGTTAAATGCATCAAATCACTTAACTGCAAATTCATACTACCAGCTGTAAATTATCGTGCAATACATATACATTGTACAGAATCAAACTGTTGTGCAATTTATGTGCACAAGTAGTGAATGATTTCAAACAGTCATCACTTGTTTTAGTTAAGTGAAAACAAAATAAATAAAAAGCAAGCTAGCCAATTCATGTAGGCGGTTTCTTTCAATAAATTCTAGCTAATTCTATAACTACCCAGATTATGGCATGTATGATTAGCAGAAATTACTAGAAGATTCTTTCAGTGTACTCTAGAATCCTCTAGAGGCCACTGTTGACCAGCAGAAGAAAACTAAGCAGCCCCTCATATAGAAAAATATCCATGGTATGCAAATAACTGAAAACAAGCACAATACTTGTAATATCTAGTCTCTATGGGCTTTTCAGCAAAGTTAGCAAAACAGCCATCCACAAACACCAAATAAATCTAAATTGGTGCTTACAAGGAGAATCCTTCTTAGTGTCCTATCCAACTTAACTTTCTGAAAACAAGTCCTGACAGAGGGCTCAAACTATGCAATTTATCAATCCTGTTTTGAAATAAGATTTTTGTACCAAAAGAGATAAGAAAAGAAATTAAACATGAACAGGACAGCAGGAATGGAGTTTTTTTCACTAAAATATTTCCAGGCCAAAGATCATTAAATTCTCTTTCCCATGAAAACTACTTTTAAGCAGCACTTACAAATGTTTTTTTAAAAAAACAAAGCCTCTTCTCCGCCCACCCCCACCAAATTCTCTGTGTGACCTGTATGTCTAAGTGGGTGTTAACTACGATGGCTTCCCTTCACAAAGCATGGGAACTGGCTCTGCATATCAGAGAAATCTCACACAGCAACCTTCTTACACAATTTTGTAGTTACAAAATTTCAAATAAGCACACATACACTCATTTGCCTGGCAATGTCCCCCTGCATTTCATTAGGAACTGACTGCAGATGCTCTATGCAAACACGAGTATTTCAAAATCCAGCGTGAACAGAATAAAGCTTTTCCTATGATGCCTCAGTCTTAGCAAAAAAAAAAAGAGAAAAAACAACTACTTATTTTGAACGAATAATCACATCGCAGAGGTCACAGTAATGCTCTTAGACGCAAAATAAATTTTGGCCAATTTATAAGTAACTCCTGTTTTAGAAGTAGCAATTCACTCGTTTGCTAACCCTCAATTCTTATTTATAGCGATTATTATTAAAGGTCATCGTTCTAAGCAACAGCACGATCCACGTGCAAACAATGGAGGAAGACAAAGACACGTGCAAAATGTTTCCTCCATATAATCTCCCTAATATTTCGGATCCAAGTCTTCCCATTTCTGCATTAATCGCTTGTTTTAGCTCAAACTAAAAGTTTGACGTATCGAGCATCTTTTAGGAGCCAGCCAAAGGATTCTGAAGAACCAGAGGACAGGAATAACCTTCCAGTGTCCTCTACCCTTAGGTAGAGGTCTACTGAAATCACAGATAGGGTGGAGCTCATGGAGACCCACATCACGCAAGGCCAAAAAAGGGTCTCAAGAGTCGTTTCCTTCCACGTTCCCCGCTTCTTTGCTCCACGGGTGACAAAAGGCTGAGCGGCAGAATCCCGTCAATCACTCACCATGCCGGCTGCTTCCAACGCTTTTCCTTCTGGGTTCCTGCCGCTGTCCCGGCGCGCGCTCCCCCTGCTCTCGGCGGGCAACCCACACGTGAAAGGGGCAGCGATTGCGCATGCGCGAGCCACACCCACTCCAGGGGAAAACTGCTTCCCGTGCCATGAGGCGGGAGAAACGTTCGGCTTTCTTTTCAAACGTCGCTTTCACCTTTCTCCTCGTTCCCTACACGGTGTAAACACCTTCACTGTTTCACTCACATGTCTTTCTCTCCCTGAATTCGATACTTTTCCCATCCGAACAAGGCGAGACATGCCCGGAAGTGATGTAACCCCGAGCACAACCTTTGGTGAGCATGGGAATTCCAGAAAATTCTGGAAGTACGGAGCCCGGGAACCTGTATAACCATCAGTAATGAAGCCTTGGGAGGAATGGACCAATCAACGCAGGCGGCTCGTTCTCAGGGCGGTTTCTACAAGCCCCGCCCCTTCCCTCGCGTGACCTGCCTGAATGAAGGCCGAAAGGGCGCGCCGCAGCGAGTGGGCGGGCCTGGCAGAATTGCCGCTATGCTCGTTCCCGGGCGCCCTCCCGCGTCAACCTTTCACGTGGGTAAGGAGGTGGGGCAGTGCAAGGGAGGTGAGAGCGCCGTGCTGCTTGTAGCCCCCGCGAGTGGTCAAGAGGAGCCACCTTGTTCGTGCTGCGGTATCTCGGCCGTTGCCTGCGCCCACCACAGGTATAGCAGGGCTCCCGATCCGGGAAGATGGGTGGCCTGCGGGGAAACCCAAGGCAGGAATGTGAGAATCGGTGCTTCTTTCACGTGTTCCACTCCTGTTTGGAGAGAATGGCCCGGCGCCTGCTTGCGATCGTCCCGCGGAAGCGCTGCCCCATTGCCCCTTTCGCTCCCTCCCTCCCCGCCACCTTTTGGTGCGCTTCGAAAAAATGGGATTTGTAGTCCAAGGCACCAAACGGTTGGAAAGGCCGGGAGGTGATGCCGTCAGTTCAAAGGCTGCGGAACGGGGGTGGCTAGATGGCGGGTCAGGCAGATCGGGGGGCGATCGGGAGTCTTGGTGCGTAGTAGTTTTTCTCCCGCAGAGCAGTCGAGACGGCCTCGGCCCTTGCCCGACCGGCCTGGTGTCCGCAGGCGGTGTGTAAACTCTACTGCGGTGGGGTTGGGTTGCCGCTTCCAGCGGATCCACGCGGTGGTTGGCAGCCCTTTGGTGCTGAAGGGCGTCAGGTTAGTGGATCTAGGGGACTTAACGCAGCCCGCCCAAATCTTAGACGGTGGATTTCAAGTTAGCGGCCTGGAATCGCTACCTTAGCCCTTCAAACAGCCGTGAAGATCAGGTGGGGGAGGGGGGGAGTCTGCTGATGCCTCCACGAGTTCCCGGGCAAGAAAAGATCGGTGAGCTGCAAGTTTTATTGGCTGTAGTACCACTGTCGGAGTGCTAGGAGGTGCTGCTGCTCTTTTGACCTTGTCCTCCGACCAGGATAAATGAATGAAGCACGTGTGACTGGTCCAAAAGATATGCTTGACTTCTTACTAGACTTTACCCTCTTCTTTCCCTCGCCCTCCTTTTCTTTTCTTTCTCCCCTTTGCATTTTTTCTAATGATAGTGGTTGAGAAAAGCTGCCTTTCATGCTTTGATGTTCATTTCAGTTGATACCAACCCGTAGATACCATCTTAAGCCAGTTTCCCAGTGCACTTTGCTCCAATATGAAATGGGGGGAAGGTGCAGGCATCATTTATGCATGTAATTCTTTTAAAAAATAAATTCTGATAGGATGCAACTACTGTATATTATTACAGTTTAAATAAGATTATCAAAGTTTTTGTATTAGATTTGGCATTTTGAGGGACATTTATGAGCACTCCCACAAAATAGTTGCTGGTGTTTCAAACACAGAATGTTCATACAATAGAAAGCACACACATTAAAATGTACCCTGGTTGATACTTTTCTTTCATGCCTTATGATATATAATGTATCTTTGATCAATCCAATTATACCAACAATTCCAGCTAGCGTAGTATAGTGAAGTGTCTTTGTTTTTTAGCGCCAAAGTCAATTTGGTTTTATGTAGCACAGTATTGTTAGTACTGATTTTTGTTAGTACAAAATGTCTTTTATTATTTACTGAATAGATTTGGTGGAATTAACACCTGAATCCATATTCCTGCCTCCCTGGTTGACAATACAATACATTTTCAAAGATCCTTTAAGAGTCAGTTTGTTTTAATGGTTAAGGCATCAGGCTAGAAACTTAGATGAATGAGGCCAGCCTTTAGACATGAAATCTGGCTGGGTGACTTTGGGCCAGTCACTTCTCTCACCCAGCCCACCTCACAAGGTTGTTGTGGGGAAAATAGGACGAAGTATGTTCACCATGTTTATAAAAAAATAAAGTTGGGATATAAATAAATAATCCTTTAAAAAGTTGTGGGCCGACATGTGATCCCTTTTCATGGAAGTGACCTGTGAGTTGAATTCAAAGGCATTGAATTTGGCATAGTAGTTCTACTGTAGTGATGATCACGCTAGTTATAAATGTTCTATAATTTATTTGCTATTTTAAAAATCAATCCTATTTTGATGAGTTGTAGCAAGTCACTGTCATAGACTTACCATATTGCACAACTCTTCTAAACCATGTTGGGAATGAATTTGGGATTTCTGGACCGGCATATCAGTCGCACATCAATTTAGGAAAGATTATTTTGACATATAATAGACATGATTATGATCCTTTTCCATTCTTGATTATGTTGACACTAACTTGGATTTTCATTTTTTTTTTCTTTATAGAAATGCTGCGTTTACCATCAGTGCTACGTCAACTAAGGCCGGTATCCAGAGCCCTGGCCCCACACCTTACTAGAGCCTATGCAAAAGATGTGAAATTTGGAGCAGATGCCAGAGCTCTTATGTTGCAGGGAGTAGATCTTCTAGCAGATGCTGTAGCAGTCACTATGGGACCAAAGGTATTGGAATAAATAAGTCCACTATGTGGAGATTTACTTGTGAAGTGTCTTGATTTGATGAAGAGCAAAATCCAAAGTACTTTTGTGGCTTGATTTATCTGAAGTGACATAATTTCAACAGGAAAATAATATGCATTATGTGGACATCACTGGACTATGCTAATTAGATTTTAATTAACACTTTTCCATAAAATGTTTTGAAATTTACTTCCCTGTAGCATGTTAGAATATTGAGCACTATTGATAACAAATTAATCAGATAAGCTTAAAAAACTAGTGAAATTCTCCTGAATTTATAGCCATGTTTGAGGTCAATAAAAGTTGACTTAGTCTAATGCAAATAGATTATAATATCAAGAACAGGCCCAACTATACAGCTTATGGACAATAATATGTACAGGTAGTCTTCAACTTCATGACCACAGTGGAGCCTGGAATTCTATATGACCAGATTCAATTTCTGTCACCGTTTTTAGGTAGAATTGTCAAGTGAATAATTTTGAATAAAAGTACTCTTTTAAACAAATACAAACTTCCTTGATAGCATGATTATATTGTTGCATATTTCCTTGGACATATCTCCTTTTGTATGCAAGGTGGTTTTTGTGCACTGCTTTTGCAGATGCATAACCCTGTTTGTGCATAACTTTTTTTTAACATAATTATCTTTTCCCGACATAATTATGCCTTTCTGTTATGTCTTAATAGCATTTAAACTAATTTGTTAATTGCTGTAAAATATTGTCTAATCATTAAGAGGTCTGAATAAAACCTAAATTTTACATAAGCTTTGCAGGTCAATGTTTTAACTTTATATGTTATTTCAGGGAAGAACAGTAATTATCGAACAGAGTTGGGGTAGCCCAAAAGTGACAAAAGATGGTGTGACAGTGGCCAAGGCAATTGACTTGAAGGATAAGTACAAAAATATTGGAGCCAAACTCGTTCAAGATGTTGCCAACAACACTAATGAAGAGGCAGGAGATGGTACAACTACTGCAACGGTACTGGCACGTTCAATTGCCAAGGAAGGATTTGAAAAGATCAGTAAAGGAGCAAATCCAGTGGAAATTAGAAGAGGTAATGCTAACCTCCTTTCTGATGTGAGTTTGGTAAAAGGAGGCATAGTCAGACTTACTCAATTTTTTCTAAGTACTTTCAGATGAGCCATTTTTGTCATTGCTTCCATAATTACCAAGGAAAAGTGAGACATATATTGATATCTGCATGGTGTTACTCTGATAAAGTATATATTTACATATTGTGTGGATTGTAATCTAGCTAGCTAGGTCATTTGGAGTCATACAAACACAAATATTTACATACCAGTTACACAAGAGTATGAGGCTCTGATTTAAATTTCTCAACTTTTAATACAGCACTTTTTCTAACCTCCTCCCATACAGCTCTCCCATATCCATTTTCCCATCGCTATTACAGTGCTGGATAATGTTGAATGGGAAAGTGCAAAGAAAAGTGGTTTATTTCAGCTTCCTCATATTATTTCTTCTGAGGCATAACAGATTTGAACATGATCATCATAGGAATAGACCGATGTCTATTTACTTGAGACAAAATTGTGCATATGTAACAGGGAGAGAAATTTTATCACAGCAACTTTGCTATGGGGAGAACGTGAGAACAGTATCTCTTAAATACCTATTTACTGCTAGGTCCATGGATTATTTAAATTAATACTTTCTGTTTTTCAGGTGTGATGCTTGCTGTGGAGGCTGTAATTAATGAATTGAAGAAATTGTCCAAACCAGTCACAACGCCAGAAGAAATTGCTCAGGTAATATCATCTCAACCTTATAAGCAACTGATTCTGTTTTCCAACATGCTTTGCACAATGGATATATTATTTAGGCTGCACCATTTAACAAAACCTAACTTGGAAACATAATCTTTAAATATGTGGTGTGATAACATCTTAAGACCCTTGGTGGTGCAGTGATTAGAATGCAGTACTGCAGGCTACTTTTGCGGCCCAAATCCCACCAGGTTCAAGGTTGACTCAGCCTCCCATCCTTCCAAGGTTGGTAAAATGAGGATCCAAATTGTTGGGGGCAATTTGCTGACTCGGCAAACTACTTAGAGAGGGCTTTAAAGCAGTGTATAAGTCTTAAGTGCTATTGTTATTACCAACTTTGTAAAATGAGGTGAGATTTTTGTGTTTAGTTTAATTTCCTAGAGAATGTGACACATAATTTGTCTGTAGGTTGCCACAATATCAGCAAACGGGGATAAAGAAATTGGTAACATAATCTCTGATGCAATGAAGAAGGTTGGACGGAAAGGAGTTATTACAGTGAAGGT